ATCGGAAGACCCAGAGAGATTCCATTGATCAGATAGAATTTGATGGTCATTTGAGTGCTTAAATGATGTTAGAATTGAGTGATCTTAGACTCGTTAGATTTGTCTTGTTAAGATGCACGATACAACTATAAGACAATCAGATTTGACATCTATTTGACCTTTCAAATATGTCTAAAAAGCTTCCAAAAGCAATTTAATGACTTGATCTGAGCTTGATTTGACTTCAATTGGACCAATTTTGGTATTATTGGGTCCATCTTGTTGAACCGATCAGTTCGATTGTAAGTTTGCTAAAATAAGACTTCTGGATGATTTTTTTTTATCAAAGATTGAACATTTCTTGCTCAAGAGATTACCTTGAGATCCATGTCATGCCTCGAGATTTGTGTCAAATGATGAAATTTGTTGATGGTGTATCAATAACATTCTTATTTATAAATTTGTAATGCATAAATTAAAAAAAGAAAAGAATCACATACACACCACTCAATTTCTATATGTCTATGTATTTGTATAAAAAATATTAGAAAAAATGGGAAGTTGATCCATAATGAATTGAACTTAGTAGTCGAATTGGCTGAACTGGGCCCACCTGTCGAAGCGGCTGAACTGAGTCCATTGGTGAGGGTGGCAAGAGTGAAGCAACATCAACAAGGCCAACTACCAAAAGGAACTAAAATGACTGATAGGGCACCTATCAATGCTTTATTAAGGTTGTCGTCGGGCAGAGAGAATGGTCGTACCGACCATATCTAACAACCTTCATTAAAGGCACCGTCAGGCGTCTAGAGCTCAAGTTTTTTGAAGCTGCCATAGATGGTATCCATACCGATTATATCTGACAACTCGACATTTACAATGACTTTAAATCTCATTCACATTAAAATTGTCTAGAGAAAGTTTCAAGGAGGAGAGAGAGCAAAGGAGATGGCATCAATTATTTCTGGGTTTATTGTAAAAATGGGGAGAGAGGACTTGTCTTTTGGGATCTTTTTTTTTCTCTCTGCACTCTCATCTTTGCTAAGGAATTGCCCTCTCATCTTTGCTAAGGAATTACTTTTTTCAGGCTGGGAATTAAACAAACTATGGGGGAGTCAATTTCTCTGGTGAATAGTCTTACAAATATTATTTGTAGAACTTTTTGAGTAAATCTCATATCTCTCCCTCTTTTCCCTCCCAAAGTCTTCTTTATCCAAAAAGTTCTTTTTTTTGGTTGTACATATTCAAGAACATCACGATATCCTACGTCCCAAAAAGATTCAACAATATTTAACAAGCAAATTTTAATATTTATATGCATTCCACTCTATCTATGCATAAAAAGGTATAATATAAATACATTTAGTCTAATCATTTATCCCATTTTATCTAGATACGGTCTATTACGATACGATTAATGATCTATCACCTTGGCAGTTGCGCAAAATATTATATTAATATTTCTAAATTAGGTCGCGGCCGTATAAGCCCGAGCTTGGCACGCGCCCAGAGATGTAATCATCTAGTATCCTCTTACCGCCGATGCTTCCTTCTCCGTTTTCCTCCTCGGACAAAAAAATCCCAACCAGATTCAGGTGATTTGGATCATCTCCTTGAAATTGATTCATCGTTTCTCATTTCAATCTCAGTTCTTGATGTTCACGCCGTGGCATCTACTTCTCTTCACACCTGTGTAGAATACCACTCCAGCTGCTGTTGTAGGGTGTTCTCCTTCTTTTAACCCGTCGGTAGATTCCTGCGATCGCCGCCTTCTTACAGGAGTTGGCTGATATTCTTATTTGACTGGATTGGGATCTATCTCGCTTTGATCAGTTCGATCGCCCCTGCGATGGGTATGTGCTCTCCCGATCTTGGCATCCTTTTCTTGTTTTGTTTGTTTGATTTGGTTCGCTGATATTGAGAAAGCAAGAGGAGAGAACTTGTTGACTTGGTCTGGGGTTCTCGAACCGAACCCTGATATATGAATTTCTGTTCCAAAATATTGAGGGAGGAATAATGTTAAAGGAAGCTATTTTAATAACTTGAAGATTAAATTAGCTTAATCATTTGATATATATACAGATTTTACTTCCCAGCGCTTAAAAGCCTTATCAAATCAATTGAATTGATTGTTTGGTCTGATAATTCTTGGAATTTTTATTATTGCCTTAAATTGCATTGATAAATTTCATGCATGACAGAATCGATGTTTATGATGCTTTGTTATTGTTTTCCATCATTTTGCTTGGATACTTCTGTAATTCCTGTCCCCTCGAATCTGTAGATTTTGTCTTGCGCTATGTTTCACTTGATGAATTTCACTTAGTTGCAATGAAATTGAAGTACCATATGTGAAAGTCCATAGTATGTCATTCAGGACTTGCATCTGGCAATTTTCTGGCAAACAATTGTTGTGGTACAGGATTCATCATAACCTTATAGTATGTGGTAGCTGCTTGCAGCATGTGGTGGTTTAGCAGTACCTATGTAGCTTAAGGTATTCTGGTTTTTTACATTTGGACTTATGAACGTGAGGAAAACTACGAAGTCAAAATACCTCCGTATATAATTTTGAGTTTGTTAGAAAGTGCATCACTAAGTGCAGTTCATTCCCTTATGTTTTTATATTCATACCCTTATGATTTATATTCATCACCCTTATGATTTTGTATCTGATGCTTTAATTATGACTGGGGTATTATGCCTAAAGTGAAATTTCATATTTACTAGTACTATGACACTTTGTTAATTTATGTTTCATCCGTTTAAAGCTTCCATAAATCCTTTCGAGAGCATCTTGGTCGGCCTTCCAAAACCAGAAGGTGGAGAGTACGGGAAATACTTCAGCTTACCTGCTCTCAAGGATTCAAGGACTGGTAACTATTTATAGTTCATTTTATACATTGCAAAAGTCGGTAGCCATCCAAACAAAAGCATTTGGTTTTTATTGCATTTCTAATTCATTAAGTTTTTCTTTTTCTTGTTTTGATTCCTTTGAAGATGTGATGGGCTATTGATTTAACTGTGGGTAGCATTTTCCTATGTATTGGAATTGAAAGAGAAACAAATTCTTTTGATGTTTTCATGGTTCCCCTGCATTATTTACTTTCTATATATTTTTTTACACTTGTGATTATCCTAGATAAACTGCCATATTCCATCAAGATTCTCTTGGAGTCTGCAATTCGTAATTGTGATAACTTCCAAGTTAGCAAGAATGATGTTGATAAAATTATAGATTGGCAAAATACTTCTCCAAAGCAAGTTGAGATCCCGTTTAAACCTGCACGTGTCCTTCTACAGGTTTTACGATTAGCTTCACTCACATCATACCTTTTAACCATTCATTAGATATCTAAATTCTTATCAGTTTTCATTGTTTTGAGCAGGATTTTACTGGTGTCCCTGCTGTTGTTGATCTTGCATGCATGCGTGATGCTATGAACAGGCTGGGTGGTGATTCAAATAAGATAAACCCACTAGTATGAATCAATTTTGGTTTTTCGCGAGTTCTCCATCAGAGCTTCTGCTAGAACGTCTCTCTTTTGAATTCCCACAATATCTTATATCTAGTTTGAATCTTTAATTTTATTAGATTTATGTACTTATTTCAGATTTAAAATAATGATCTATTATACATCCTTTGTGATAGTGTTTTTTTCATCAGAGCTCTGTCTTTATGATCTTGAAAATCGTGACTGGGGTTCATTATTTTTTCTCCTTTTCCCAAGTAATCCCTTGTTTTGAATTAGGTACCAGTAGATCTCGTTATTGACCACTCCGTACAAGTAGATCTTGCGAGATCAGAAAATGCTGTGCAAACAAATATGGAACTTGAGTTTCGAAGAAACAATGAGCGTTTTGCTTTTCTTAAATGGGGCTCTAATGCGTTCCATAATATGCTAGTTGTACCTCCTGGCTCTGGTATTGTTCATCAGGTAAGTTGGCTTAAACTCTCTTCAATTCCGCTATCCTATGACATTTTATGGGTTCAGATGTTTTCTTTTTTAACATTGGAAACTTACTATAAACGAACTGCAGGTCAACCTGGAGTACCTTGGTCGAGTCGTTTTTAATAATGGTGGCATCCTCTATCCAGACAGTGTTGTTGGAACTGACTCACATACCACCATGATTGATGGTTTAGGTGTTGCTGGTTGGGGTGTTGGTGGCATTGAAGCAGAGGCTGCAATGCTTGGTCAGGTAAAATAACAATCCAACTTCATCTAAACAATACTATCAAATCAGAGTCTGCATATTTTGATAACTAGGATTATCTGCTAACCTATAAAAATGTGGGGGTATTACCATTTCTGCCATGGTAAAATGCATACATTTGTTGACATATTTGAGGAATATATTTTCATTCTTCCCAGATCTATTATATAGCCCTTCACAGATCTATTATATAGAAGAATGAAAATATAAAAGAGGTTATAATTTATAGAGTTGTGGCTATATTAGAACGACGATGTATCTAATGACATTTATGCGAGTACGAATATAATGAAGATATGAAGGTAAATTCTATAAAGTTTTAATTAGACGAAAATGCTATATGGATTGAATGTTGGATAGTAAAAAAAGAATATTAATATCTAAGTTGTGTGTGAAAAAAATGAGAAAACTAAGATGAATAGGTGGGAAAATTGGGAAAAATAAATTAAAGAAAATGAGTATATTAGAGGCACAGTTCGAGTAACATTTCTCAATGATTAGGTAATTTAAAATGATCCTCAGTTGCTTGGACATATGTAATAAGGGTAGAAAAAGCATCATTAGATTAGTAAATAAAATTAACATCCATGAATTAATGAGGAGAAGTGGTAGACTTTTGACAATATATAAACGCTATCCAAAATGATTTCCAAAGAATAAGTTTAACATCTTTGGCAAGACTTGGCAAAGAAGTATGAAAAGTGAAAATTTATAAAGCTGATACCAAATATTTGGGATAAGGCTAATGATGATGATGATATATTGCTTTGAGCAGATTGAATATTCAAATAATGGTGCTTTTAATTATATTTTTTAATTAATAATTTAATTTTTGGGAGGCTGATATGGCTCATATATGTTTTCAATTGATATTTCATTTGATTGTCATATAAATTGACCTGATTCGATAAAATAATAAAATCAAATCTTATAAGTACCCCATGTTTTATTGTCTTCCCTTTTTACTTCTTACATATTTCGCATTATCGTGCGACATTTTTTTATATTAATTGCATTTAATGGTTCATTACATCCACAAAGATACATCTTGTCATTTTTACTTTATAGATTTATCAAGTTTAATCATATCAAAAGACTTCTCTTAACACACAATCTTGCATCTTAAGTTAACTCATGCTTAGTTTTGCAAATTGTTTCCAAGTCAATGTTCAAATCCTTTTGCTGTGCTAGCTATGTATATTTTATGTGATTACCATACTTTTAAATTGCATGTTTTCTATTATCTATGTTTCTTCTTTTTGTAGTTTTCCAGCATTCAAGAGTGCATTGTACTGACTCCTTAATTGTTTTCCTGATAGTTTTCTAATCGCTTTGATCCTAGAGTTGATATTGTTTTTGCTTTAATCTGGATAAATTATTGCCTTTCATTATTTGTTTTTGGAAACTGATTGAAACTCACTTCTCTCTATAATAATATGTGCACCGATTGTAATTTGTAAATTTTAATAAAAAATAAGTATTTAATTTATTTTTATGTGTCGATGAAATTATTTTTTGATGCTTTGGCCATTAAAATATTTTTTCTTTGAACTAATTTCTTGTAATCTGTTTAAGCTTTTCTACATTCTATCCATAAGAAAAAGGCTTTCTAAGTTCTAAGATCACTTATAGTTTGTTGCATTTGGCTTGCTTGTAAGGAAGAACTTATTCCAGTAAATTGGTTGTTTATGAGTGAAAAAATGGAAAATACATATAAACATTAATACTTAAATTAATGATTGCAAGTCATAGTCAAATCATAAATGATTAGGTTTTGATTCCATTTATTTCAATCAAAATAAAGCCTTTAAATTGTTTGCACATGAAGTTGCATCAAAGAATACCCTAAATTTTTTTTTTATAGGCATTTTAGTTTGCAACTTTTCTTCAATATATATATATATAAGCTGTTTGCAATGATCCCCGCCTATAATATTTTCATCCATCTTTTGGGGCAGGTAGGGGAGTTTTTTCCCTTTCATTTTGCTTAACCCCTATGATGATGGTAGTTCAGTTGATAAAGATATCGGAAATTATCATGGTGATGGTAGTTCAGTTGATAAAGATATCGGAAATTATCATTGAGTTCCTTGATTTATATCCTGCTTATATCAACAAATCCTCAACCTTTGGGTACACATATGTTGGCGTAGGAGTATGGCTAGATATACCAATGGTTAAAATGAAGGCCTCACAATTTTTTTCTGTTAAATTTAAAGTCAATTTCCTCATTTTTTAGCTGCTCTGAACTTCTGATTGAAGAATGTAAATATCCAATATCATTCCTCCCTCATCTACAGCTTCTCTTTGCAGGGAATGTTTTCTTTAGCCCTCAAGTAAGAACATTAAATCACCCTGTTTCTTTTAGCACAGATTTTTTCTTCTTGTTACAAGAAAGTGATTTCTTGTCCTCTGAGAAGCTATCACTTGATGACTAGATAATTTAACATAATTCAGACCTTGCACTGCACTCTTTGGCAATGATTTCTTCAGGACTTTATATGATCTATTTCTCTCTCAATCCTCTTGCTTTCTCTTAGGAGCATTGCCAAACACCTTATTTTTGAAACTTTTCTTTTGCGAAGAGGGAAGCACAAACTCTTTCTAAAAAAGCACAAGTAATGGAGACCACTTTGGCTTTATTATTATTTATTTGCTATGTAATTTTTTTATTTGGGTTCTATTTCTGTTGGTTTTTTTGCCTGTATTTGCCTTCTTTTACATGGAAACTCGGTGCAACTTGGGTAGCGTAGGAATATTCTCTTTTCAGTTTCACATATTTAGCTGTCTGACAATGTATCTTTTGATGGCAGCCAATGAGCATGGTTTTGCCCGGAGTTGTTGGGTTTAAGTTATCAGGGAAATTATGCAATGGTGTAACTGCGACTGACTTGGTGTTAACAGTGACTCAAATGTTACGGAAGCATGGGGTTGTTGGCAAGTTTGTTGAATTCTATGGTAAATAGTCTTGAACTATTCACTTTTCTTTTTCAGCTCCAACACCTTTTTATTAAACGATTGTTTTATCTTTTTTATAACTGACTGTAGGTGAGGGTGTCGGTGAATTATCACTGGCTGACAGGGCAACCATTGCTAACATGTCTCCTGAGTATGGTGCAACCATGGGCTTCTTTCCAGTGGATCACGTCACTTTGCAATATCTGAAGTTGACTGGAAGAAGTCATGAAACTGTTAGTTTTTCTTAACTGTTCTACCCTTCACATTTTAAAACAGTCAGACCTGTCTTTAATATGCCGAAAATTATTTTTTCTTGTATAATTTGCTTAGATGTAATTTAACTGCGGATTGAGAAGTATTTGAGAGAATTGCAAGCTACTTTTCTGAAATAGCATTTTTAAGCGGAGTAAAATGACAGTTTTTTTGCTGAAATTTTAGATATATAAAATGTTCTAAAATATACAACTTGAGTTATGAAGATTTAATAGTTTAGAATTATAAAGTGAATTTTCAGTTTAATTTAAACTTATCTGATAATTTGTGATAATACTTTTCATTATAGGTGTCACTGATAGAAGCCTTTTTACGGGCAAACAAGATGTTTGTTGACTACAATGAGGTAATTCCACTGTTTTATGCCTTATTAAAACAACATTAATACTTGATTTATAGAGGTTTATGGTATTAACAATTTATTTGAATTCAGCCTCCCGTTGAAACTGTGTACTCATCTTATCTAGAGCTGGACCTTTCCAGTGTTGAGCCTTGCATTTCTGGTCCAAAGAGGTTGTCCCATTTCTTTCTCATCTTCCAGATTTTGCTGCTGATGCTCTGAACTAGAATTCATACAGATTTTTTTTCTAAATATTAAATGCATATTCTTCTATGTTATATTTTCAGGCCTCATGATAGAGTTCCTTTGAAAGAAATGAAGGCAGACTGGCATTCTTGTTTAGATAGTAAAGTTGGTTTTAAGGTGTGAAAAGCTGCGTGATCACTTTACCTTTGTTTCTTTGGGTTGATGTTTAATATGCTTACAATAAAGCACAAACCATTTGTTGCTGATTAAGTTGAGGCTGCTTGTTACATTATTTAATATGTTTGCAGTGGAAACCCTTGCATTTTTTCTGAGTTACCAATTTCTTTGCAAATTTGAGCTAGAGAGTACTTTGAACATAAACGTCCATCATGCATTGTTGACATAGGCACATTTTTATCATTTTCTTCTTGAATTTGTTTTTTTTCTGTGTTTTTTTTCCTTAATTACTGAATTATGAAATTTTGCTTCAGGGTTTTGCGGTACAAAAGGAATCCCAGGACAAGGTTGTAAAATTTGATTTCCATGGGCAGCCTGCAGAACTCAAGCATGGCAGTGTTGTTATTGCAGCCATAACTAGTTGCACCAACACATCAAATCCTAATGTAATGCTTGGCGCTGGACTTGTAGCAAAGAAGGCTTGTGAATTAGGCTTGGAGGTATTTTATTTTCTATTTTGAGTTATTTGATACTGAATATTTACTGAGCTTTTTATTCATTAAAACTTGTAGCTAGTACTCATAAAATGTGTTTTATTATACATGATATTTCATCTTCATAATTTTCCCCCTCTACCTATCCAAAATGCTTTTATGCTAATATTGTTTATTTCTCCTAAACTTTGCATGTGAATCTTTCCCCTTTCTTCCTGTATTTTTCCTAGTCTTGGCTGATAGTTTACTTCTAAATGTAGGTTAAGCCATGGATCAAAACGAGCCTTGCCCCTGGATCTGGTGTTGTTACCAAGTATTTACTTAAAAGGTATAATATGAGGCATTGCGAGTTTTGTCGTAACTCCTGGAAGGCATTTGTGTTATCTACATAAAACCAAGTTTTCAATAACTAAATTAGTTGCTATTTTGTTTGGATAGTAATTTTAACGGGTTTTCTATTCTAGTGGTCTCCAGCAGTATTTGAATCAGCAAGGATTCCATATTGTTGGATATGGCTGTACTACATGTATTGGAAACTCTGGGGACCTTGACGAGTCTATTGCTACTGCGATCTCTGAAAATGGTTGAAACTCTGTTGTTTCTTTGTGTTACTTTATCTATTTTTTTTATCAGATATGTGGAATAGATTTCTTCTGAAGTCAACTATATGCTATTTATGTTTTATATTGACAGATATTGTTGCTGCTGCTGTACTTTCTGGGAACCGGAATTTTGAGGGAAGAGTGCATCCATTAACTCGAGCTAATTACCTAGCCTCACCTCCACTTGTGGTAGCATATGCTCTTGCTGGCACGGTAAGCTGATTTTTTTTATAATTCTTTTTATCCTGTCTTTTTTTATGGGAACGTATTGATACTGAATGACTTCAAATGTTTCTGAAAATGCTTCACTGTTGTATCTTTATGTAAAAGAAGTTGTTTTGTTTAGAAGCCATGTCCTTTTATCAGATAAAGAAAAATTGGAAAGTAAATATTGGCTTAAACAATCATGGCTTTTTAAACCTAAAGAAGAACTTTATCAAAATTTGATATGAATATCTGACTGAATTTAAGGGTCTGTTTGGGGCAGCTGCAGTTTATCCAGCTTCTGCTGATAAGCAGCTTATCCTGATAATCTGCTGATGACCAGCTGATCCGGATAAGTTGTCTGGTTGTTTGGTTAGTGCGTCTGGAAAACAACTGATTCTGTAAAATTGACTATTCTGCCCTTTTTTTGAATAAGTTGTTTAGCTGTTTGGTTAGTGCGTTTTGTAAACAACTTATTCGTAAATTTTTTTAGTTGGATGAATAATTTGTGTAGCAGAAATTTATTTTCTTAAATGTCAAGAAATGAAAATGCAAAAAAGTTTAATAATATTTATATAACTCAAAAAAGTTGTGGTCACCAAAAAGCCAAGTCCAAAGATAAATACCAAGAAAAAAAAAGGTGGAGGATAATAGATGCTTACACCTAACAAAAGACCATAACATGACTTGTTCAACAGCTCATTCTATTTGCAACAAGTTAGTTTAACATGACAAAAGATACCGGCTTAAAATACTTATTTATGATTATCCAAGCATGTAAAACTAGTAAAGAGCTTTATCATGACTCATGAGAGAAAGCTATCCTAGACTAACATATATATAAATACATAAACTTGCTTGAAACGCTTCAATAACAAATAAAAATCACTCATTGGTGTACATTTTCTTGATACTGGCAATTATAATGCAATTAACGAACCTGGTGTTACTGAAAATGGAAGAGGAGAACCATTTAAAGTTTGATTATCACCATAAACATGCAAAAGGAGCCTTCCAGCAATGGTGGGAGTAAACTCGATGACAAGATATCCCAATTCGTTCCAAATAATAGAAACTAAATTGAAAATCTCCACTGCAGTTCCATTGGAATAAGATGTTGACAGTGTAAAATAATTTTCAGTTTGCATATGCATTAAGGAGACATTATTTCCAAAAGCATCTTTAGGATATATCAGCAAATAAGTTTTTGTCCCAACTAAAGACTCATTGAAAAAATCAGTCCAAGAAGGCAGACAAGCAGATGGGTACATTGGTCCTTCAAATAAAATGTTATAGCAAAAATTAGCAAGATTCTTGTGAAGAATAAAAGGGGCATTTACAAACATAACACACAATTCTTGCGTATTTGCATATCCGAACTTAAACATTGATATTTACAAGCATATCACTTAAATCTTTAACATCGTATCAAAACTACCACCATCATTGCCTTTTTAAAAGTGAAATACACCTTTTCATGCATAGGTTTATGACAACAAGTTGTTATAAGTGAAGTGGTTTTATCATCCAGCCAACTGACAGAAAAGGAAGGATTGGGAATTTTAACTCCTAAACCTGTAAGATACCAATAATCCCATTTACATATAAATAATGAAACTTTAACAGCATTCAAAGAAAATACTTTATAAAAGTCTTTTCAATAGATAAATCAATTTTTCCTCCGAGTAAATTCAAGTGTCCAATAAAATTTGATTCAAATCCAAAAGAGGAAACTTAAAGGGATTGTCTGGCAATGGGTTTACCTCAAGATTTAAGTGCAACGTAGGCTAAATCTTGTCTGACGGACATTTTGGACAAAATGAATTTGCGGATTTGATAAATCCGGATTCCACAGATTTCGACCGTAAATCCAGGATTTATTAAATCAAGCGAATTGGCGAATTTATGGGATTTATGCTGCATGGAAGCTAAGAATGCATGTGTAAACAATGTGATAGGTTAAGTCTTGCCGAACACTTTTATTAAATTTACAGGATTTACTAAATATGCTGGCATACAGTTTTCTGGACAGGATTTAGTAAATCCTTCTAATAACTTGAATCTAATCCGTTGCCAGACAACCCCTAAAAAGCACTGAAAAATTTAAAAGCAAAAATAGTCAAAGGAAAGAAATTATCACTTAACCAGAAAATTTTGATCACACGCACCTCTTTGAGATGTAGAGTGATATGTCGCAGTTGCAGCTGGAATAAAAATCAAGCCTTCAAACCATAATACAATGCAGCATAACTCGATCATGCGTCTCATTGAACCTAATAAATTTGAGTGATTGGATTGGCAGGATTTAGCGTCAATCCTAAAAAACGGTAACAAAATGACAGCAAAAATGGCAACTTCAAATCCTGCAGACTTCTAAATCCCGTTTCTCCTCCATTTTGTCCTAAATCCCTGTTTTAGTAATTCCTGTGGATTCAGACAAATTGAAGCGCGCCAAGGGGGCGAGAAGCAAAACGAAGTTTAAGGAACGGAGTGGAGTGTGGGAAGGGAAGGAGAGTCGCGACTGCCTGCGGCAAAAATTTTCGAAGGTCGGCGAGCGACGGAGGCGAGATCGACGCCAAATGTTCAAGGAAGGTCGGCTGCGGAGGAGGGCAGCGAAGGAAAATATGGGAGCCCAAACGCGGATCGCGGGTATATCCCCGCGATCCGCGTGTAATACAAATTAAAAAAAGCTGTTTCCAAGAACACATGTAAAACACGATTTTCAAACGCTAAGGCGTCGTTTTTAAAAACGCCGCCGCACATTTAAGCTGCCCCAAACGGGCCCTAAGAATGCAACTACCCGTTCTTTTAATAAGTTGAATCATACTTAAACAATTCTCTTCTCTTTGAAACTAATTTCATGTGTGCTCTTGAAATTCACCAGGTTGACATTGATTTTGAGAAGGAGCCAATTGGTATTGGAAAAGATGGACGGAGCGTATATTTTAAGGATATATGGCCATCTACTGAAGAAGTTGCAGAGGTGAGTTCTACTAATTTCAGACAATTGCATGTTTTGTTCTTTTGTTCAAGCTTCTTATAACGCCATCTATTTAGTCTGTTGTTTATATTAAAGTAGTTTTTTTTTTCCTGGGTGTTTTCTACTTTAGGCTTTTAATCAATGTAATTTTGATGTGAATCAGAGGAGTTATTGTGCGAACCGGTTCTGTCAGTGAAGCTTTCTTCAAGTATAATCCATGCTTAAAACCTTATACCTTATGGTTTGGACCTTTGTAACTGAACAAAAACGCCATAGTTATATTATTTTGTATGAACAGATTTTATACTTCGCCGTGTTTATAATGATAGTTTCTGTACATGATAAATTTATCATTCTAAGCTTCAAAGAATGTGTTTCTTTTCATTATATATAAGAATAGAAAAAGCTTAAAATGGTCCCACAATTAATTCTTTTATTCTTCAAATTTAATCCAAAATAATTTGGCAGGTGATCACTTTGGATCATATTTGAGGATTCAAGGGATTAAATTGAATACATTAGGTAGTTGGGATTAAAATGTCCCCATACAAATTGTAAGGAACCATTTTGATCTTTTTCTCTATATGAAATTAACCATTCTTAACTACTTAGATTCACCTACGGGTTACAGTTTCTGTATTTGCTTTTTCCTACGATTCTAGAGAGATCTGGACCATGCTTACCATGCATTAACCTGAAAATGACATGTCTTCTTTTAGGTTGTTCAAAGTAGTGTGCTGTCTGATATGTTCAAGAGCACATACGAAGCAATTACGAAAGGAAATCCTATGTGGAACAAGCTCTCCGTGCCAGCCTCAACTCTTTATTCATGGGATGAAAACTCTACATATATTCACGAGCCACCGTATTTCAAGAATATGACCATGACTCCACCTGGTTCTCATGCTGTAAAAGATGCCTATTGCTTGCTAAACTTCGGTGACAGCATCACAACAGATCACATTTCACCTGCTGGCAGCATTCATAAGGACAGCCCTGCGGCTAAGTACCTACTTGAGCGAGGTGTCGACCGTAAGGACTTCAATTCATATGGAAGTCGTCGTGGTAACGATGAAGTAATGGCCAGGGGAACCTTTGCAAATATTCGCCTTGTTAATAAGCTCTTGAATGGAGTAGTAGGACCTAAGACCATTCATATTCCAACAGGAGATATACTTTCCGTGTTTGATGCAGCAATGGTATGTTCATCTCGAATTTACATGTTTAATAAATTCTTAACAGTTGAGATTTTCATTAAATGCTAACTGACTGCAACTTTTTTAAGTTTGCATACTGTCTCATTATGAAGTTTCCTTATTTTAATGTTTTATGAGCTGTGAATTGCATTACTATAGACACAGTGAGCTCAGCAGAATTCTTTCCTGCTGTTTGTGGGCACCATTCTTTACTAGGAAACATCTACGAATGTTTTAAAATGTACAACCCTTAATCTATCAAGATTGCCGATCATGTAATAAAATTTTGACCTAAATGTGCTCCTATCTTGATCATCAGAAACGGGATCTCTGGTTTATATAATTTATGTCTGAATATGCATTTGCTTTGCAAAATATTTTGTGACAGAATAGGTTTCATTTGTAGGTTTATATATATGTTTGTTTATGGGCACATGTGATGTAAATTATTCCTAATTTTTATGATTTTTGAACTTGTAGTTGCATGTGTCCGCACAATATTTTAGCAGAGTTGGCATCAACATTGTCTTAATTTTGGCACCAGTGTCATTATCTAAATCCTTATTTATTTGTAAAATTCATTTATGCAAAGTTTAGAAATAATATTGCAAGTATTCTATTATTAATCGATCCATCTCCTTAAGTTTGTATCTGTGCAAAATTTGCTCTTTCACAGAGGTACAAGGCAGATGGCCATGAAACGATAGTTTTGGCTGGAGCTGAGTATGGTAGCGGTAGCTCCAGAGATTGGGCTGCTAAAGGTCCGATGTTGCTGGTGAGCATTTTGCTACATATTAACTGGTCCTTTTTTCAGTTGAGGCTACTATTGGTCCTAATAGTAATGTTCATTGCCATTCACAAACGCTAATGCACTGCTTCTATGTTGCATCTAGCTTAATAGTGGTTTGCATCTTTGTTATATCAGGGTGTAAAAGCTGTGATATCTAAAAGCTTTGAGAGAATTCACAGAAGCAACTTAGTTGGAATGGGTATAATTCCACTTTGCTTCAAGCCGGGTGATGATGCTGATTCATTAGGCCTTACTGGTTTTGAAAGATACACAATTGATCTTCCAAGCAACATTAGCAGTATACGACCCGGGCAAGACGTTACAGTTGTGACAGATAATGGGAAGTCATTCACATGCATCCTTCGCTTTGACACTGAGGTGCCCTCCCTCACCCTCCTCCCCTTCTGTGTACCCTTTGTTATTTGCACCCCTCCTTTCTATATTATGGAAATTGCTTTTTTTAAAAAAAGATAAGGATAATATAAATGACTACTGCTACAACTAAAGAATTGATATATCTCTTTGATCATGTTTATTTCATAAGACTTGCCAATGCATTGACTTTAAACTATATTTTTCTTCTAGGAATTACATGTTTTATATGATAGACTGATGTATTGATTTTTTCTTTTCCAAATTGCTACCTTGTTGTGTGGTAAAACTGGAAATAGGAGGTAAAGAGAAGCGGGAAAAGAAAAAATTATAAAAAGAAAATTTGTATCAATGCTATCATTTTTATTGAGCTTTTTGTATTATGGTTTATATTGTATTGCATTTTAAATTCCCTGCAAAGATCTTTAGTATTTCTTCTTGCATGGTTCAAAGCTTTTGTATGATTATTGTATCAACATCATAATAATATTATGTTGACCTCATTTTTGATGAGGTCTAGTCTTCCTCTTAGGGTTTAGGATCTAGCCTTAGGGATCTCTCTTTGACTATCTTAGAACCTTAGAAATGGGACCCGCCTCGTTTTAGAAATTCAACCCACTACTGTACTCTTTTGTGGCTTGTGTGGTATCAACTTCTAGCGCTTAGAAGGATGAAACCAACATGAGGAAACCCAAAAGAGATCCCTATAGGACTTTTTGAGCCTTAGGGTGATCTTTTGCACAATTCGCACTCCCGCGCACAAAACTTCGCAATTCGGAGATTCGACGTGTCTGATCGCTACAATTCACATCGTTTGCACTGTTACCTGTTGAAGACTCGAATAAACTTTTTGAAACGATCGATTGCGAGTCGAAACTTCGTAAAATTTGAATTTTACGCGTTTTTGACCCGATTGTCGACGACGTCGTCCGAGCGATCCCGGATGACAAAACGGACTGCAACTGCGCATCCGGAACGTCGATTTTTTCTAGGGAGGACACTCATTTTGTTACGACACCACGCGAAGCCAAATGAGCTCCTCCTCCTCCACGCGAGAGAAAGTTGACTTCTCATTCGTCCTTGCCCGGAACTTTCTGCCCGTGGCCCTCCTTCCCGAAGCCGTGCCAGTCTCCCCAAGCTGTGGTTTTCCTTTTATTGGTAGTTTGACTCTGGGAAGCTGGCTCCTTGGTACACTTGAATGGCAAACTCTCTCTTCTTCCCGATATTTTTCTCGTTGCCACTAGGCTCGCCACTTGGTCCTAGATGTTTCGGGTGGCTTTCCCCCTTTGGGGGGGGGATTGCTTCGCCTTCTGTGAGCAGAGAATGCCGGCCCGATTCGAGTGCCGTGGGTCGAGTGCCGTGGGTGGATTGGGTGATCTTCTTTCTATTCTCCTCTCTTCTCTGCCTATAAACATAGTTTCTTTTGGGGTTGTTGAAAAAGTTTGCAAAAGAAGAGAGGAGTAGAGATTTTGGCTGTGGGAGAAGTTTGGGAAGGAGATTTCTGTGAGAGCATCTCCTTGAGGTGATTTCTTGTGTTGCAATGCTTTACATTTGCATTAAGAAGATACCTCTTCTTCTCCCCTTTCTTCGGTGCCTTGTTCTCTCGCGGTTTTCTCTCTGTCGAGCCTCTTCTTGCTCGGTTAAGTGGATAGTGCAACATGCTTATATGATATCACACTTATATTTTCTTTGAAATACTTGGTACTCAAGCATTTAGAAATGGAAATGTGAGCATGTGTTAGAAATTAGACTTGGATATTTGCTTAAAGTGTTGGATATATGACATCTTCTCTGTTTATCATATCATATTTATGTTGGCAGCGATTTGGATAATTAAAGCATGGCTTTGGAATAATTTTACTCCTCTTGCAAGCATGTTGCAAGCATGTTGGGATGTGTATTGTGAAACTTTTCATTTATCTTTCGTCTAGCATGAGATATTGAAGAATTTACTTGGTCTTTCATGCATGTTAGGGGGTTTCGGCTTTGACATCTTAATACTTGCTTTTGCTTAAAATGAATGCTAGAGAGTTCACTTTACTTTTTATTCATATATGGGGGCTCGGTTTAGCTCCTGCGGCTTTCCCTTACTTGATTGGTATGCTATGAGAAAATTTATTTAATTTGGAAAGCTCTTATGAGAAAATTTATTTAATTTGGAAAGCTCTATAGCTTGTTTTGAGGGCTGTGAGGCATCCCTTGTGAGGCATCTCCCCTGTTCAAATATCTGTTGGAATTATTTTATGCTTGGAATATTTAGACATTCAGGTTATTCCTTGGTTTGGAGGCTCGGTTTTGGCTTGGTTTGGAGTCTCGGCTTTGGCTTGAAATGGCTAGAACTCTATTTTTTAGTGGAAGCCTGGATTTTAATACTGTTGGGAGTGGTTTTGGTGCTTCTTAAGTTCGGTTTTGGCCCCTGTCGGGCTCGGTTTTGGCCCCTGCTGGGCTCGATTTTGGCATCCCAAGGGTGTCTTAGCTTAAATATACTTGTGATGAATGGATTTATGTTGATTTGGAAGAATTCCCTAGCTGTTCTTGTGTAAAACATGCGTTAGTTCTATATTTTGATGTCTTGAGGATATGAAATTGTTTTCTATTCTTTGGTTGTAACCCGAATTCGAACCTTAGCTGTGGCTTGGTCCTGGCTTCACTTGGGAGCTCGGTTTGCTTGTTTTAGCTCTTACTCGAGAGCCCATGATTGAGTCCTTAAAACTTGTCTTTACTCGAGAGTTTTGATAGCTTGCTTTGCTTGCCTTTGGCCCCTACCCGAGAGATGGCTTTACTGGCTTTAATTCCTACCCGAAAAATGGCTTAGTTATTTTTGATTTTTGTTGGTCTCGACTCTTACCCGAGAGCCTGTTTTGGGTGTGCTGTGTTGTCTCCATTCGAAGGCTGTTATTTGGTTTTGATGGATTGATTTGGCAGTTTATGAGGCCGCAATTTGATGTTTGCTTGGTGCCTAGACGTGAGTTTGTTATGTGGCTGAATCAGCCTCCCCTTTTGGTCCTTACCCGTGAGGCTTATTGGAGGTCGGGTGTGATTTGGTCCTTCTTGCTAGGCTTGATTGGCTTGAATGTTGTGGATGAATCAAGTTTGTCATCCCAAAAATTATAATCACTTTAGTTATCCTCTTATGTTTGTCAGGGAAGCATAGTAGTCATTGGTGGTGCTTTTCTAGGTTCTTTGTTACCTTAGCCGCGAGCCTCACTTGCTGCCCCTCTGGTTGCCTTTGGTCATGGGTCTTGGCAGCTGTCTTTTGCCGTAGCCATGAGCCTCATTTAGCCCTTTTCCTTGTCTTAGCCGAGAGCCTTAGTGGTTGCTTTCTCTTCTCTATTAGCCTCGGCCCTGAGCATTTATTTAAATTCAGTGGAAAAATTTTATGCTTATTCGATACGCGAGACTATCTATTAATTCGAAAGTGGGAGAATTTTGATTTTGTCATGAGTTTGGAAATATTGATGGTGGTTTCCCCGAGGTCACTTTTGAAGTTTGGGAGATTTTAAATCTCATTTTGGAAAAGCATTTGGTAAACTTGATCAATCCTATGTTTTTGGGGTTTGAGAAAATCAGCGCAAAGTGGCCCTTTATGTTTGTTAGGAAATACCTTGGGCCCTACTTTTCCAGGTCTTTTCAATACGAGTTTTGAGAACTGATTCATTCTCCTTTTTGATGTTTTAGATGGATCACTGCCTCCTCTCTCTCACCCTATTTTTGTTTTTTTCTTTCCTTGCTTATTGGTTCGTTCTTTTTGATGCTTATGTCTGATGCATAAGTGTCCGCGTATAGCTTTTTGTTTTACGTGAAACCATCAAACAAGATCGTAAGTAGTCGTTTTGGGGCGTACGGTGGTGATGATAAAGGCACACCGAAGATAGAGCAGAAAGATGTCCTATTCTATAACTTCGAGATCCCGACATTTGATGAAAAATAGGATAACGGTATCCTTCATTGACATAAGTCTAGCGGGAGTTGGCTCGAACCTCCTCAGATGATTGGCAGTCCCATGCCCGACAGTGTAATCGACTTGTGGACAACGAAAATTTCTAATATATATATATATATATATAT